TAAAGTGCTCTAGACTAAATGAACAGGTAACCCCTGCAGCGTGGGTGCAGTCCAACTGCAAGGGTGTCAAGGTCCTACCTTTTCCCAGAGGTTATGCTGCTCCATGTGCTGGCATCCATCTTGGGTTTCTGTAGAGCATGGTGGGAGTCTTTTATGCCTTCAGGCCTCTGCGGTCCATCCCCCAGAGGGGTGTGGTTGATCACATATAAGCCTGTTGTCCGCACATGCTCTTTGCATTCGTGTCTTGTGTGTTAGTGTTTAGCTCTGTTTATACTCTCGTGACTCTCCTGGAATCTGACTCAGCTTTTGACTAGACCATTCTCTGCGTTTTCCTTTGATCTGAACCCGGCCTGTGACCTGTTATTCTTGTCCACTGTTCTGTACCGTTTTTGTCCTGTTGTTGTTGACCTGGCCTGCCCGACTACGCTATTGTCTGATCTGGTTCCTATCAGCTACACGCCATTGGCGGTGGCCATTACCGCAGCTGGGGTGTCTCGGGGGCCACGACCTGGTTCCTGGCTGCGTCAAGTCCATCCCCACCATCAGGGGCCCTGGTGAAGGGCAGCCTGGGACTTAGACTCCGCACCCTGAGTGACTCCGGTCTGTGGGTGGTGGTTGTCGTCAGTCAGTGTGTGACCCTGCCACCAGGCCTGCCTGTCCGTTCAACAGCTCCTGCCCTGACAAAGGGATAATTTTTAGATTTTCCGGGGTTGGACTTTAAAGTGCACTTGAATTCCGAAAGTTTTACTATGTTATAGGGAACATTTATAAATGTTAATTGTGCCTAAGCTTTACTCTGAAAGATTTACCTTTTGTCTTGGATTCTGGAAAAACAGCAGTGCATGTCCTGGTGTGTAAGTCTGCCTAGGCACTTCTTTGCCTGCAGTCTCACAGCTGTATATCCAGAGGGTGAAAACTAAGGTACTGTTGTTTTTTGTGACTGTTTTCTTACACAAAGAAGCATCAGATTTTCATTGGTCGAAAGAGATTATTATTTTTTTCATTTTGTGGGGATTTTAGGAAAAAAGAAGAAGCAGAATTTAATCAGGTGGACATAAGAACATATCTCATAGCCTACATCAAGTGCACTCAAGGGTAGAGATCCAACTCTAGTTTATTTGTATTCTCTGGACCTAACAAAGGCAAGAGAGCCTCAAAAAAATACTAGTGTAAGGTGGATGAAATCCACAAACATAGAAGCTTATCTGACACTCCCATTCCTCTAGGGCAGTGTCTACTTCATGGGCAGAAAGAGCCAAAGCCTCACCACTCTGCAAAGCTGCAACCTGGTCCAGATTCCAAACCTTTGTGAAGCATTACTGGTTGGATCTGCTCTAGAACAGGCCTTCAGGAGAAAAGTGCTTCAAGCCATGGCCCCGCCATCAGGTAGTTCTATTTTGTCCTCTCTCGTGAGCTGTCCAGGAAGATGACCCAAGAAAACAAAGTTATTACTTGTTAACAAGTAATAACTTTTTTTAATAGAGCCCAATAGTATAGAATTGCAGAGAAATACTTCAGCTCCAGCGACATAGCGGCACCTCACTGGAATTTGAAGCATTGTATCTGCAGGCATCATCCTGGTTGCGTTATTTACAGTCGATGGTCGACTATCTTGTAATAGCAATCGAAGCGGCTGTCTAGCTGCTCGTTTGCTATTAAAAGCAGTGGAAAGGGATGACCCCCCCTCCACCTTCCGTGGCTTTAACACCACCTTCCGTAGCTTTAACAGGACCTCCTGTCCCACCAGGAGTCCCCAATCGATCAGCTGATATTACCAAATGGCTAGTCACAGAGCCAAAGACTGAATTGGCTTTGTGCAGCTCTGTAATATAGTAAACCGGAAGTGATGACCTGATGTCTCTTCCGGTTTACGCTGAACTAAACAGCGCCATTTTTTTAAAAAAAACAAAAGCATTCAATCACACTGATATTGGTGTAATTGAATACTTTTAACCACTTCCTGTCCGGACACTTTTACCCCCTTCCTGTCCAGGGCAATTTTCAGCTTTCAGCGCTATCACACTTTGAATGACAATTGCGCGGTCATGCAATACTGTACCCATATGAATTTTTTTACCATTTTTTTGAGACAGATAAAGCTTTATTTTGGTGGTATTTATTCACCGCTGGGATTTTAATTTTTTTTACTATGTAAATGAAAAAGTCCAAAAATTTTGAAAAAAAGTGTTTTTTTTTTATAAAATTTTGCAAATAAATAATATTTCATCATAAATCTTGGCCAAAATTTATTCCATTTTTTTTTAGTAAAAAAAAAAATCCAAATTAGTTTATAACCAAAAATTATAATTTTTAAACATTTTTTTTTACATTTTTTTTTATATTATTATTTTTTATTTTATTTTTACATACTGTCACCCTAGCAGTACAGTGTCACCATGGTGACACTGTACTACTGGGGGGGGGTGATGAAGATTTTTTTTTTTTTTTTTTACACTGATTGCTTTTACAGCCATATAGGATGTAAAAGCAATCATTTCACTTTCTCTGTCTGCATTCTTGCAGTCATTGAGAAGTACTGAGTGAGCTATGATTGGTCACAGCTTGTCACATGGTACCATGTGACCTCTGTGATCATTCACAGATTTCACACATAGTAAGCAATGATGTCACAAGTGACATCTTGCTTACTACTTTGCATGTGATCACTGATTCGCCAATCAGTGATCACATGATCGGGACCTCGTACAGAGGTCCCATCCAACGATTGGTGTTTCAAGGTGTTCGGAGGACACAGCGGGCACCGGATCGCGGTGGTGCACGCTCCCAGGGAGCGCGCACAGCTAGAAAAGGCGGGTGCCGTTTAGGAACGGCATCCCGCCCCTGGACTGCCACCGCCCTGCCATTTATAAACAGCAGGCGGACGGCAAGAGGTTAAGGGCAGAGGAAGGATCTGGGGTCTCATTGACCCCAGATCCCTCCATAAAGAGTATGTCACATGCCTATTGCTGTCATAAGGGTTGCTTACTTTCCTTGTGACAGCAATAAAAGTGCTAAAAAAAATTAGAGGGACAGTGTAAAAATTAAAAAAAATCCTGAAAATAAATGATTAAAAAAAAAAATTAAAGTGCCCCCGCCCCCCCATGCAAAGGCGAATGCATGCATCAGTCCTGCAGAAATGAAATAGTGATCGATTCACACATGTGAGGTATCGCTGCGAACGTCATATCATGGGCAGTAATTCTAGCACCAGTCCTCCTCTGTTTTAAGTGGTAACCTGTAAAGGCTTATAAAACGTCACCTGTGGGTGCAATTTTAAAGCATGACATGTTTGGTATCTATTTACTCGACATAGCATCATCTTTTATATTTTACAAAATATTCGGTTATGTATTATGTTTTTTTGCATTCAAATTAAAAAAATATGTTTTTTTCCCCAAAAATTGTGCTGCGTAAATACCCTGTGACATACAAAAATTGCAAAACCCACCAATTTTTCTCTGAGGTCTCTGTCCTTGAGAATGTTTACGGATTCAAAGTAATTATCTAGCAAAAAATACTCATTGTCACATGTAAACAAAAAAAGCCAGAAAGGGCCTGGTCTGGAAGGGGTTACATAAAATAACATATGAACATCTAAAGAGGTTCTTTATCCCCCCCCCCAAAAAAAAAAATATGTCAGCTGCTGTAAGCACTGTGGCTGCTGACTTTCTTTTAATAAAAGGACACTTACCTGTCCAAGAATCCAGTACTGCCACACTAACTGTGGGTCTCCAAAGCGGCCATACTAACTGTGGGATGCTGGCTGTGACTCCTTCAGCTTCATTGCCAGCTCCTCGCTGTGCATTTGCAAGCCATGGTGCATCCTGTGAATGTTCCCCCAGCCTCTTGGGACTTGTGACATGTCCCTAGCGGCTGCAGGCAGGGGGGTGAGGGTGTGGGTGTTGAAGTTCTACTGGTTTTGACAGGTACCTATACCCCCAACAAAATGTGTCAAAAAGTTGAAGAGGAGGTGGGGAAAAGGCAGAAAAGTAGAACTTCCCTTTAGGTTCTGAATAAAGGCTGAACTGCTGGCAGTTATAATACATTAAAAAAACAACAACAACAACTAAAGCCCAATTCCAGCCAAAAATGTTTTCTTTTTCTTTGGATAAAATGGAGAAGAGTTAGAACCCCTACCACCTTTTAATTGCTCTCTGTGTCCCATTTGTGGATATTTTCCCCCACAGTGACACAGCCATAAACCAAAATACATTTTCAGAAGAGAATACTTAAAGTGTTACTAAACCCACAACAGTAAAATCAGTCTGTGTATGCAGTAAAGCATGCTTGTTATACTCACTGTGGAACCTAAGGGGTTAATCCTCTACATTGTGTAAAAACGCTGTTTGATCCTGGCATCTATGATCCTCTCCTTCTTCCACTGTCCCCCTCTTATCTCCTGATAAGACATAATGTGTGGAGTCACTCTGTATGGTGTGTATTCCAAAAAAGATTTTCTTTCTCTGGAGAGTGCATGTGATCACCACAGGGCCAATCAGCACTGTCCAGACAGAGGTCAGGGGTTCTGCATCATACTAGATTAGAAAAAAAAAATCCTCCCACAAGCTTTAACCAGTGCACAGCTGGATACTGATAGAAGTCACAAGACTGCTATATACTGCTTATGAGAAAAGGTATTTAGCAGTTTATATTTACTAAAATAATTGCTCTTCCATGTTCTGTGTACTGTGGGAGACCAGATATAGTGAATGTGGGGTCCGAGGAGACCGGATATAGTGAATGTGGGATCCGGGGAGACCGGATAAAGTGAATGCAGGGTCTGGGGAGGCCAGATATAGTGAAGGCAGGGTCTGGGGAGACCAGATATACTGAATGCAGGGTCTGGGGAGACCAGATATAGTGAATGCAGGGTCCGGGGAGACCAGATATAGTGAATGCAGGGTGCGGGGAGACCAGATATAGTGAATGCGGGGTCCGGGGAGACCAGATACAGTGAATGCGGGGTCCAGGGAGACCAGATATAGTGAATGCAGGGTCCGGGGAGACCAGATATAGTGAATGCAGGGTCCGGGGAGACCAGATATAGTGAATGCAGGGTCCGGGGAGACCAGATACAGTGAATGCGGGGTCCAGGGAGACCAGATATAGTGAATGCAGGGTCCGGGGAGACCAGATATAGTGAATGCAGGGTCCGGGGAGACCAGATATAGTGAATGAGGGGTCCAGGAAGACCCGATACAGTAAATGCAGGGTCCGGGGAGACCAGATATAGTAAATGCAGGGTCCGGGGAGACCAGATTTAGTGAATGCAGGGTCCTGGGAGACCAGATATAGTGAATGCAGGGTCCGGGGAGACCAGATTTAGTGAATGCAGGGTCCTGGAATTAGTAAACTTTAAATAAAATGCACTAAGGTGCGCAAGGATTACAGACTAATGGTTAAAAGTATATACAATTTTATTACATTCAGTTCTAAAACCACATACGTTCAACAGTACATTTTAAATCACAATACAGTTATCATGACTCCCTCCTTGTTGGGAGGGGGGGGATTCCCGTATCTAGCATCAAAGCAGTTTTAAATCACATTGCAATAGCCTGTTTGTCAGTACAGCGGGTGTCTCCTTTATCAAGGGATTATCTTTTGCCTCAATGCGTTTCATGGGATAAAGATCTACTTCCTCAGGAGGATTTGGGAGAACATACTATCTGCTCAGAGACACATAAACATAAAAAAAGAGAAAATATAGTAACATTATTTATACATTATGTTAACTCAATCTTTATTCGTAATATAAACTGCATGTTTGAATGGCAGTACTCACTGTACAGCAACCTACAGACCTACAGGGCGCACGCTCTCAGCACATTTTTCTTAATTGCATGCAAATGTGTGGCCGCTCGGCATCAAGGCCCAGACGCCAGGAGGCCGCACATTTGCGTGCGGCCGGCGCCAAGAGGTTAATGCCATCCCAGTCTTAGTCTGTAGGGTTGAATATTGAGTTGGTCCACCCTTTGCAGCTATAACAGGTTCAACTCTTCTGGGAAGGCCGTCCACAAGGGTTAGGAGGGTGTCTATGGGAATGTTTGACCATTCTTCCAGAAGCACATTTGTCAGGTCAGGCACTGATGTCGGACGAGAAGGCCTGGCTTACAGTCTCCGCTCTAATTCATCCCAAAGGTGTTCTATGGGGTTGAGGTCAGGACTCTGCATAAGCCAGTCAAGTTCCTCCACCCCAAACTCGCTCATCCATGTCTTTATGGACCTTGCTTTGTGCACTGGTGCTCAGTCATGTTGGAACAGGAAGGGGCCATCCCTAAACTGTTCCCACAGAGTTGGAAGCATGAAATTGCCCAAAATATCTTGGTATGATGACGCCTTAATTGTTCCCTTCATTGGAACTAAGGGGCCAAGCCCAACCCCTGAAAAACAGCCCCACACCATAACCCCCCTCCACCAAACTGTAAGCTTGGTACAATGCAGTCAGCCAAGTGCCGGTCTCCTGGCAACCACCAAACCCAGACATGTCCACTGGATTGCCAGACAGAGAACTGTGATTTGTCACTCCAGAGGACGTGTCTTCACTGATCTAGAATCCAGTGCATACTTTACTCCACTGCATCCGACGCTTTGCATTGCACTTGGTGATGGAAGGCTTGGATTCAGCTGCTTGGCCATGGAAACCCATTCCATGAAGCTCTCTACACACTGTTATTGTGCTAATCTGAAGGCCACATGAAGTTTGGAGGTTTTTAGCTATTGACCCTGCAGACAGTTGGTGACTTCTGTGCACTTCAGCATGTGCTGACCCCGCTCTATCATTTTATGTGGCCTACCACTTGGTGGCTGAGTGGCTGTTGTTCCCAGTTGCTTCCACTTTGTTATAATACCACTAACAGTGGAGCGCAGAATATTTAGTAGCCCGGAAATGTCATGGATGGACTTATTGCACAGGTGACAACCTATCACAGTACAACGCTTGACTTCACTGAGCTCCTGAGAGCGACCCATTCTTTCATAAATGTTTGTAGAAGCAGTCTGCATGCCTAGGTGCTTGATTAGATACACCTGTGTCCATGGAGGGGATTGGAACATCTGAATCCAATGATTCGGAGGGGTGTCCAAATACTTTTTTGCAGTTGCTGCAGATTTGCACATCCATGATGCAAATCTGTTCCACCACATCCTAAAGGTGCTCTATTGGATGGTGATCTGGTGACTGTGGAGGCCATTGGAGTACAGGGAACTCATTGTCATGTTAAAGAAACCAGTTTGAAGTGATTTGAGCTTTGTGACAGGGGCATTATCCTGCTGGAAGTAGCCATCAGAAGATGGGTATACTGGAGTCAGAAAGGGATAGACATTGTCAGCAGCAATACTCAGGTAGGCCGTGGCATTTAAACAATGCTCAATTGGTACTAAGGGGCTCAAGGTGTGCCAAGAAAATATCTTGCACACCATTACACAACCACTAGTGATGGGCCGAACACCCCCATGATCAGTTTGTTCGACCATGAACATCAAACTCAATGCAAGTCTATAGGACTTGAACTGTCCATTTTGAAGGCTTATATGCAAGTATTGGTCATAAAAGGGGTATGGGGACGTTTTCAAAAGGGCAGAATTTTTTTTTTATTCCTTTAAATACCATGCCTGGGAGGGGGGGTCCCCTTAAACTACCTGCAAAGTTGCACATCTGTACAATGTATAAAACCTGCTGCAGCAGGAGTGCCCCACCCCACAAAAATGGGTATGGGGTCCCCCCTATATTCCTACCAGACCCTTGATCCGAGCACACACTTGGCAGTGCAGGAAAGGGGGGGGGGCAATCGAGCCTCCCCCCCCCCTGTGTCTTACCAGTCCATGTGTCTTTGGGGACAAGGGCCTCTTACCGACAACCCTGGCCCGGTGGTTGAGGGGGTCTGAGGGCAGGGGAGCTCATTAGCATCAGGGTACACATTAAATAAGGGGATACAGAGTATGCATATTAACAATTATGTCACAATGCATATTTTTCTTCTTTCACTTTCTGTGCATTCAAAAGGCTTTCTAAGCTGTGCAGTATATGGCCTTGAATGCTAGCTACAGATAAGGATACCAGCTACAAGCTGGAACACATTACTTCACAGGAAATAAGGGAGGATGAAGTGAGCTGGTGACCTTGCTTTTGGAGGCTGCTAGAAGTGTTAAAGTTTAAAGGGGAACTCTGCAATATCTGGGTGCTGCCACATTATTACAGTGCTGATGTTATAAAATAAAGTATACGCTGTGACCAGAGATCTCCTTTAACCACTTGCTGACCACCTAGGACGTAGAAGTTCGGTAGCAGAACGGCTCTACTGTGCTGTACCAAGTATCTAGTATGTGATCTGGCACTTCTGGGTAGGGGGCGCGCATGTGCACTTGGGGCGTGTATGTGCGCCGCTGGCACACCTACTATGCTGTGATTAGCCACAGCACAAGCCGATCAGCAGTTGCTAAGCAATAATTGACTGCTGGCACTTGCTGATCAGTGAGGAGGAAGACAGTACAGAACTCTGTTAATGTATAAACAATACAGAGCTCTGCCCTGTCAGCAGAAACATGCTTGTTTTTGTTTCCCTGCAAAGCAGGGAATATAAACGGGAACATCCCTTAGTGAAAGCACCTCATAGTACACACATAAACACTAGTTAGGCACTCATTTAACCCTTTGATCGCTCTAGATGTTTAACCCCTTTTAACCCCTTGTCATTTGTATGGTGACAATGTATATTTTTAGCACTGATCACTGCATTAGTATCACTGGTTCCCACAAAGTGTCAGTTAGTGTCAAGATTGCCTGCCGTACTAATGCAGTCCCGCTGATCGCTGCCATTACTAGTATAAAAGAAAAGTAACTAAAAATTTCAGTATATATATCATAGTTTGTAAACATTACAACTTTTGCGCAAAACAATCATTATACGCTTATTGGGATTTTTTTTTTACCAAAGACAAGCAGAATACATATTGTTCTAAATTTATGAAAAATTAGATTTTTTGGGGGGATATGTTCCATAGCAGAAAGTAAAAAAATACAGGTTTTTGAGGTCTTTTTTAGTTTATAGCACAAAAGATTAAAGACCCAGTGGTGAAATCTCTATTTGTGTTATGAAAATGATATAAATTTGTGTACAGTATTGCATGATCGCACAATTCTCAGTTAACTGCTTCCCGCGCAGCCCTATAGCAATAATACTGCTACAGGGCGGCACGGGTGCGCAAAATCACATATATATATAAGATTGTGCAGCGCTGGGTAGGGGGCTCGCGTGCGCTGCCATTTGCGGCCTTGGCTGTCAATCACCATGTTCCGGCGATTGTCGATCTCTCTCCTGTCAGCTCCTGCACATTGCTTTGTATGGCTCTGCTTAGCAGAGCCATACAAAGTAGTGTGGTTACAGTGTAAAGCACACACACAGCACACATAGTAAAACACACACAGCACACAGTTAACCCTTTGATTGTCCCAGATGTTAACCCCTTCCTGCCCAGTGTCATCAGTACAGTGTCAGTGCTTTTTTATTAGCACTTATCACTGAATTAGTGTCAGTGACACCAAGTCAGTTCCCCCCAGTGTCAGAATGCCCACTGCAGTCCCGCTATAAGCCGCTGATCGCCAACATTACTAGTTAAAAAAAAATTCCAGTATATATACCGCCATTTGTAGATGCTATAACTTTCACGTAAACCAATTCATTTACATGTATTGGGATTTAACCACTTGCTGACCAGCCACAATACATTTACTGTGGCAGGTCGACACTGTTGCGTAAAATCACATACAGTGAGGAACAGAAGTATTTGAACTCCCTGCGATTATGCAAGTTCTCCCACTTAGATCTCATGGAGGGGTCTGAAATTCACATTGTAGGTGCATTCCCACTCTGAGAGACAGAACTAAAAAAAAAAATTCAGGAAATCACATTGTATGATTTTTAAAGAATGTATTTTTCTTGCACTGCTGAACATAAGTATTTGAACACCTGAGAAAATCAGTGTTAATATTTGGTACAGAAGCATTTGTCTGCAATTACAGAGGTCAGACGTTTCCTGTAGTTCTGACCAGGTTTGCACTGCAACAGGGATTTTGGCCGACTCCTCCACATAGATCTCCTCTAGATCTGTCAGGTTTGGGGCTGTCGCTGAGCAACACGGAGTTTCAGCTCCCTCCAAAGATGTTCTATTGGATTTAGGCCTGAAGACTAGCTAGGCCACTCCAGAACCTTGATATGCTTCTTACGGAGCCACTCCTTGGTTATCCTGGCTGTGTGCTTCGGGTCGTTGTCATGTTGTGACTGGGTGTCATTCTGGACTCCAACCTATCCTTCCAGCCCCAAGTCCAATCTTTATATCGTGCAGA